CTCCCTAACCAGTCCCACGTCCAGATTTCCCCCTTCATCTACCTAACAGTTTGAGTTACCAAGCTGAACAACACAAGAGTTATGGCTACCACAAAGCAAGCACTGTACAAACTTCTTGGCCAGCAAGATCCAGATGCGGTGACAAGCGCACATACAGGTGCACAGACCGTTTAAGGGACACAGCTGAGGCCAGAGCCAACTGTCACCTCAGCATTTTCCCCCATCATTCTTCTCTGTTACAGAGGAGCTATAGCAGCCGGATGATTTTTCATTTGTTAAGATACCTTGAAGTCAAGGGCAGCCCTCAGCTCATGACCTGTTCTCCTTACATAAATGGGAGCATCACCCTGCTACTCAGACACAAGCATTGTACACACCAGCTGTAAGCTCTGGTTCCTGAGTTCGCTGTTATCCTTCTCCAGCTGTTTCGTCTGTTCTTTCAGTTGCTGATTGTGAGCAGAGATTTCCTTCTGAGCCTGAATCAGGTCATTGTATGTCAGAGCTTTAACTCCCAACTACAAGATGAAGGGTGAGAAGGAAAGAGGTCATTCAATAAGGTCTTGACACCCTAATTCCAGATGACTGTCACATTCAAAAGTGACATCGAGGAGATCCACAGAACTTATGCAGCTCACAGGAAGTCCCCCAGCATTCTCCAGGGCACTTTGTCATCACTAGGGGATAATGAGGAAGGACAAAAGTACCTCACTTGGAGCTGCTGTTCCAGCAATTTAACTTTAAAATGGGCATTTAGTTTCTTGGCAGCCAGAAGAACACTATTTTGGCAGAGAGCTACCACATTTCCTTCTGTGCTTCTGAACTTGCATTGGCAACACAGAGTTTGTTCAACCAGCAGGGGATGGCACCCTTTGCTAAAATACCACAGTGTCTGTGGTCTGTCACTCCCTTCCCTTGGATGCAGAGTGGCACGCAACAATTTCAACAATGAAGATAAAACATAACCAAAGAGTGATACAGATTCCACATCATTTAGCGTGATCTGCTGCAAAATGGGGGCTGAAGACCTGAGACTGCTCTGGTCTTACTTATTTCTATCAAAACTGTTGGCATGCATGTACTTCCACCAGATCAGGGCTACCTCATCAAGTTTCTGCTGAAAAAGACGTTTGATTTCCTCTTTCTGTGCCTGGCAGTGGGTGAATAACTGCTGTGCTGTCCCCAGTAGCTGAGCGTTCTTTTCCTGGAAAAGGGAAGAGTGAGAAAATACGCTTTTAGCACCAACTGCAGCACGGTCCATCTTAGTAAGATGTTTACACCTAGTTTGTATAGCAAGTTGGGAAGGAATCTGAGCTCAGAGGGGAGATGTATGAACTATTCCAGCTCTCAGACTTCTGTGAGCATGTATTTGTCAGTGTTCAACACTTGGTGAAGTTTAAGTAAGCTGAAAAGAGCTTTTAAGTAGTTGTTTCTGCTATATGGTAAAACATAATCAGGACAGTCTTAAAAATTCATTTTTATCCTCCCAGAGCATTGTAAAGAAATAGTATAATCACATCCTACAGAGCCAAAATGGAACTGGAAAAGATTATCTGTATGAAATCTGTTACTAAACTGGGAACAGAATCTAAACCTCCAGAGTCCCAATTCAGAGTTTTCCTACACAATACTCATGGAAGATACACAGTAAATGAAAATACACTGTGGGGGGAGGTAGGAGGAAAGTCATAAATAAGCCAAATCACTTGTACTTCTAATGCCAAAATTGCTTCAGCGGGCCACCCAACCCTTCCACTCACAGAACATTCCTGCCCATAACATTCCTTAACTAGATACTTGCTCACTCATTTCATGGCCACGCACTACATGAGCAAAGGGCAAGGACAGGACTGGCTAAAGAGTCTCATTCAGTTCCCAATTGAAAGACAAGTGCAGCAAGAAGAGCAGGCTCTGCAGACTTTTCTCCAACTTTTGCTGCCGAGGCCAAATAGGAATTGTGCAGAAACTGAGCCATCGCTCCAGTCAAAGTGGAGGCCAAGGGCAAAAAGCACCTTGATCTCCCAAGCAATCCACGTGTGATGCAAAGCAGCAGTGCTGGCAAGTTCCACATGTGTGAGAAAACACAGGACCTGGCATACAGCTCTTGTTGCCTCTCACGCCAACGACTTGGGAAAACAGCTGAGTCACTGCCATGCTAAACGGGCTGCCATCGGTGATGCTGAAAAAATCATTTACGCTTTCAACATCAGTCATTTCATTCAGCCTTTACAAGCAGTGGAGGAGCTGACAGCTCCATCTAAGGGTAATCTGGTGAACCAGCAGCTCACAGCATCTTGTTTGTTTTAAAATCGTATTACAGAAATGTTTTTCTTGTGCTTGAAAAACCTTCATGGAAGAAGGAGTTATTAAATAGAATACACAACAGCACCTCATCCAGCAAAGTTCTGCTTCTGCTTTTGTGAAGCATGCCATGCTCTCAGTGTAACACTCCATTAAAAAAAATATTTTCATACTGAATTCCTCATTTTAATGTCTTGAAGTATAAAACAGCTGTCAGACACCAACACGAAGTGATTGCTTTTCCATGCTCTCAATTTATACTTTCAGTGTACAGCACAATAACTGTACAGTATCATTTCTCATGCCATTTGCTGTGCAAGGAGACAAATTAACTTTATGCTGACTTTCCTGACAAGTACAGAACAAGCAGAAAAATGCTGCTGCTTAAGGAAAAAGTTGAAAATCCAAAGTGCTGTTTGACTGTGAAAACAAATGGAAGCAACCATAGAAAAAAGGTTTACACGAACACCAAATCAGCATCAGCCAGTTCTCAGTAACGAATGGGGTGGCACAAGTTAACCTCTCTCATCTGGAAAAAGAGTTCCCATTGTGGAAAACCTCATGAAACAATGCTACAGCTTTAGGCTGACACTTTCACAAAGGCCACAGAGCAAAGGAAGGCTTCCAACGGGGGCTACCAAAAGCTAGAATTAGCCAGAAGTTAAAGATTACTGTTGAGCTCTAGGAGGAAAGCTTCCTCCATAAAAGTAACAAGCACAGTCTCTCTCATCAGCACTAATTTATAAAGCCATTAAATTATTCATTAATTGAAGTAAAGCAATACAAGAAGAAAAGGTGTTTAGCCAGTAAATCTCCCTCTGCTGGGGAGAAGGTTCCATAGCAGAGAAAAATGCCACACTTCACAGCTGCAGGGTTTTCTTTGCCTTTCCACGTATTTCAACCCACAACTTGGTAAGTTTACACTTTGCCCGCCAGTGTCATCTTAACACATTAAAATTATCAATACTAAGGATGCTTCATTAAGTCTCTTAAGTCAGTGATGACAGTTTGGGTTTTTTAATCCCACACTTCAATTTGTTACAAGTTTAATGAGGCATCCTGATGCTAGAGCACTCAATTCATTTAGGCTTTCCTACAGTGGGAAAAGAATAGGATGTCAAAACGCAGAAAATTCAGCTCTGAGGAATTAGTATCCATGCGTTTTTCAAGACAGTCCTCATTCCAAGTGGCTACAATCTTTCGCTAGATTAAGCACAATTTAATTATCTAAGAGCACTTTGACCAGCAGCTCGCAGGATGCATCCATGCAGGGAGGCCCCTCTAAGTGGAGGGCAGGGATGTACGCAGGCAGCGCGGGCTGCTGGGGAGGCTGACCACCACCTCTTGCTCCTGTGAGCCATGAGACATTTAGAGCAGAAAAGCAGCTGCCAATCCCAAATGGGAGAAAAGGATGGGGTTCAAGACACCACCTTCCTGCGTAGGTACATAAAGCTTCATGTCAAAATAGAGGAAAAAAACCAGAATTACTGAAGTAAGTCTTTTAGGTAGAGGGGCACCAGAGGGAAGAGGGGCGGTGCATCTCTCCCAGTTTGCAGATGGGAAATTTAAGCACACAAAGACTGATCGAGTTAGCAATAAAATCCCCAGGTACAGTCATTCAGCCTAAGAATTAGTCTGGTAGAGTCTTTAGAATTGGTCTGGTGCAGCATCAATGCTAAGTGGACACAATTCTGATCTCCACCATTTCCCCCCCACACACACATCTAAGGCATCTGGTAGTCTGGCATTTTTGTTTAGAAATGTTAAAAATGAGACCTACCTTTTCCTGCTCCAGTAACTGTTGCAGACTTGCTTTATACTGAGGAGTTTTCATGTATGCCATGAACTGCATGTACTGGATCTTAAAAGAGTCTGCAAAATAAATAAGGAGATGATACATTTCAAGCGAGAGAAAGTGCAATGCTCCTATTTACCCCAATTTTCTCCCTTGACACCTCTTCCCCCTTTGCTCTCTCTTGCTTTTTATTTGGATTGTAAGTCAGCCCAAGCCATTAAAGATCAATTTAGAACATGCTGAAAATCCATCTTCTGATGCAAGCTGAACTCTTGGATCCATTAGCTACTGATAATAAGTACCCCAGTGGAAGTCATGACAACGCATTCAAAAATGCAGAGGAAGATGATGGTTGCTAATGGTGTGTTTGCATGATGGAAGGGGAGTTGAACAGCTTTTAATGCACTGTAAGTAGAAGTAATAAAAGAGATTAGCTGTAAATGCCAAACCCAGCCCTGAGCTCAGAGCGCTCATTCTCCCAGCGTCACAAGCCGGGGCTTGCTGCACTCCTCCAGACAGACAGATGACAAGCTCTACACCCACATTTACTCTACCCTTCAAGGAGCACTTGCTTCTCATTGTCCTATCTCCAGTCTCCGATTATGCAATGAACCTTCCTTCTCCCCAGCCCTCACCACTGGGGCCCTTTCATCATAAAGCCAACCACATGATTAAGTCCAGTCTGCTGCAATCACAGGCAGCCAAAACACGTAATAGATGGTATACAGGCTTCTGCGGCAACGTTTAATCCAGACAAGTGTCACTCTTCCCACTCCCCCTGCAGAACCAACATGAAATGTCCCTCTTTTTTCTTTCTCTACAGTAAGAAATCAGTCAGACACCACAGCAAGAGAGTAGGAGTGAAGGACATCACAGATGCCCTTGGTCTCTACATAGGCAGGAACATTGCATCAGATTCCCAGATGATCCTAGACTGGCTCATGGCCAATGCCAAAGGCCAGAAACAGTTGCTTGGAAGGAGCCAGAAGATCCAAAAAACCACGCTCTGAGATTTTCCTTAAATCACCTCGTGCCTGTGGAGCGTATTTTCCAACCACACCACCTTTTGACCTCAAAAACTCAGACAGCATCTCATTTACTTTGCTCTAAGTTTTGCAAAGAAAATGGAGTCGTGTTCTCCAAGACTGTATCACTTAAGAATAAGAGAATGGTTTCATTTAAAATGAAGTTATTTCGGACTAGCCATTTCCATTTAAAGTTATTTTGGATTCCTGCTAAACCCAAGCTTATGTCCTTTTGTGCCAAATGAGAACTGAAACAATGTCAAAAAACAAATGCAGACCAAGACATCAACTCCAGCAGCAAGCAAGAGAAGAGACCTCGTAGTGATGCCAATAGAAGTGGGGCAAGCAGGGGAAGATGGAGGAGAAGCTATCCCCTCTCCTGTTCAATGTACAGCTTTCCAGAGTGGCCCTATGGCTTACCATACATTCAGAAACCTCACAGTAGAGGTTCCCGTGACACACACAGCAACAACATTACAGTCTTACCTAGCAGCTTCTGTAGTGCAGGTGGGGTAGGTGTCACCAGTAGCTGGTTAGATGAATGCCGTTGCACTTTAGGAGGTAGTTGGTAATATGGACTATGAGGTGACTTGTATGCATCTGAAGAGAGAAACAAAGACAACCTTTCAGATTTTGAAAGTCAGTGTTTCTGGCAAGTACTTTACATGTCATTTACAATGCCAGATCCAGAAACTCAGCTAGATCACCGTGCTGCAACAAATTGTTTGGAAGGACATCCACAATCTACCCTTAGAACAGCAGCAGCAGAGACAAGCTATCAGCCACAGCCCAGCTCCAGCTTCTGGCCAAGTACCTACAGACAGATTTGACCACCACCTTCTCAGAGAGGCATACTCCCATCTCAAGGGGAGCTTTGCTTCGGTGGCAAGGCAGAAGTTATGACACAAAACCAAACTAAGCCTAGAAATAAAGGAAGAATGACCTCCAAGCATGCGTTCAGAGCCTCAGACACTTAACTACACTCATGGGGTAGGGGGAGGCTTCTTCCACTGCCAGCCTTGAACTCACCCTGAGGAGAGGATGAAGATGTCTGTGAAACAGTTTGAGCATGCAGAAGTTCTAGTGCAGTTTGATTCTTCTTGGTCTTGCGTTCTGTATTTGCAGTGTTCATTTTCTTGGGACGTCCTCGTTTCCTGCCTGCCATTTTCCTTCCTTTTTTACTTAGTTTTTTCTTCCGTGCTTTGGAGGGAGATGGCTTTTTAACAGAATTTGCCCCAGCCTTTTCTTCTTCAGCACCAGAATCCTAAGAGATTTTTAAAAGCCAAAAGCTCTTTAGTCATTTCTACCTACATATGCAGCCTTCCTTTTAAGCAAGCATTAATAACTTTGTTATTGATTTAATAACATTAATATTCATTAATGTTAATTATTTAATAATTTTGTGAAAGGAAACTGATGCATGGTAGTTAAACAACCTGCCAGTGAAACAGACCTGCTTGGTATAAGAGCTGTCCCCAGACCCAAGAAGTTGTGCTCATTCTCTTCTGGACTTACACATTACAGAAAAGGAACTCTGTAACTGCTGTCTAAGAAAAGCTGATTATTCACCCTGTATTGATTATATTCTTCAACTGAATTTCATTAAAAAGGTAAAGTACATTCAATACTTCATATTTTTGTGCATGAACAGTCACACTGCATTTCTAACAGTATTATGCAATGGGATGAGAAAGGAAATGAATCTTTGCAAAAGAGACCCAGCACACTTTGAACTCCATTCAATGGGTTACAGAATCACAGAATCATTTGGGTTGGCAAAGCCCTTTAAGCTCACCAAGCCCAACCATTCCCCCTAACCCTGCCATCCCACCCCCAAACCCTGGCCCTCAGCACCGCCTCTGCCCAGCTGTTAAATCCCCCCAGGGCTGGGGACTCGACCCCTTCCCTGGGCAGCCCCTTCCCGTGCCTGACAGCCCCAAGGGGAAGGAATTGTTCCCCATGGCCAACCTCACCCTGCCCTGGCACAACTTGAGGCCGTTTCCCCTCGCCCCATCACCAGCTCTGCAAGCTGGTGCTGAAGGTAAGCAAGGGTGGACAACCAACTATTCTATTCATCTGGCAATACCTTCTTTCCAGAATGAGTAATGCAATTCCCAAGTGCAGCTTTTATCAAGTCACTCCATCATATTTTTATCCACAGCAACAGCTATACCAATTTACATGTTCAGAACAAGCACAGTCAGCCTTCCCACAGAATCAGGCTTTTCCTGAGGCAGAGCATGAGTTCACGCACAGCTAAAGAGAAAACACGTTTACTCTAAAAAAATGCAGGATGTTCACCTTGTTTTCTTGAACCTTCGTTGGAGTAGTTGTGTTGCTCTTATTTTCTCTTTGTTGACGACGTCTAGCTGCCTCTTGTTCCTCCTGGATAAACATTTTAAAAGACTTAATAATTTGCTCATATATTTATCACTTTTTAATACAGACCACTGTGTTTCCCAGCTGAGTCTTCCACAAGAGCTAGGTGTAAGTGCTCTTATTAAAGCCCAGTTAAAAAAACCAAACTTTTGTTACCAGCAAGGGAAAAAAAACCAAAACCAACTTACCCTGCCTCAAGCAATGTTCAGGGGGAAAAGGAAGAGAAGTGCAAATCACCCTTTTCCACTGCATTACCTGCTATAACGGGTTTCAAACATGCTGCTACAGGGCAAAGGAGATGAAGCCCCAACCTCTTCCTTTATTCAGCCCCTGGCAATCCCACCCCCTAGATCACACACCGGTGTTACAGGTTTTGGGGGGAGTGTATGGGGGGTTTAAAAAATTATTAAATATTTCAATAGCTGTACCTAGATCCCCAACATTTCACATGTTGCTATATCACCTTAAAAATCTTACATGACTTGAAACGGCAAAGCCATTAATCATCATCTAATTGAACTTTAGCCAAGTCTGTAGAGGAGACTTAACAACAACAAAAAAAAAAAGCATCAACTTTTAAGCTTGGTTTGCTACTAGGCAGTAAGGACAGGAAATTTCAGAGAGCTCACTCAAAGCCTTTCTTGTACCTTCCAGGTGAGGTTTAATTTGCACAAGAATTCTGGCAATTCCAACACCTCTTCAATTTAAGCAAGTTATCAGCTAGACCTTATAAATGACAGATTTAAATAGCCTCACCATTAAAAGCATGGGTGTTCAAAAGTACATGGATGCCACTCTGCACTTTTTCTTCTGACTCTGAGAAGTCTTTTTTTTCGCCCAAGTTTGAATTCAGCAGTCTGAAATAACTCAGTCTCAAAGCTACCATTAGTCTTGTGTCAACACTTACTAAACAAGTCACTCTGAAGACTCAATGTTCACCTGAAGTTTTAAATTAAGTGGCCTCACTTAATTCTCTTACTGGGAATACCAGCCTCATCAGTTGTTTCAGATTAATACAGCCCAGCACAGCCTCAAAAATCCTCTGGCATTTTAATTCCACATGCGATAGCACAGGCTGCAGCAACTGACAACACATTTCATGTCTCAAATAGCACATCCCAAAAGTGACATCTCAGAGTGCTCTTCATTTTCATGCAGCTGAACACTGGGACAGATTCAAATGATCATTTCCTCCTTTAACTTCAGCTCTTTAATGAACAAATAGTTTGTTATAGACCTCCAATGCAAGGGAAAAAACACCTTGTGGCTGCCCCATTAATTGTCTATTAGAAAGCTCTTGAACATGGTTGTATTAGTGCTTGATGGCATCTGATGCTTCACTTCAATTAGCTCCACACCCACGATCCTTGCTTATCAAGAAAATTTGATTTTCTATCAATTCTGTACATCTTAACGAGTGACTAAATCCCTCATAGTGGCTGCTCCATTATTTTAAGTTTTCTAGAGAAAATGACTGAAACTTACCCTGAGTTTTGGATTTTTGAGACTAGAAAAATAGTTTTCAAGCTGAAAATAGAAAGATGAGATAGTCATTTTCAAAGGCACGACAGATGAATACGTAAGAACAAAATATCAGCTTAAGACAAATGCAGAACTGCAGAAATTCTGACTGGTTTTCTTCTGATAAGCTACATCAAGGAGCCATTTACATTCATTCTTTTTTAGTGACACAGACACGTTGTGTAGCAGGACATAATCCAAGCCTCAACAAGGTTTTATCATCTTCACCACTGCCTATCCTTGGTTTAAAGCTTTGTGTCATATATCTCCACTCAGCAGAAGGTTACTTTCAATGAAGCTACTTCATTCTTGTACTCCATTACAGTATTTATCTGCACTCTAGCATATTCTTTAACAAAAACATTATTAGACTACAGCAGACTTAGGAAAAAAAAAAAAAAGGAGTCTTATTATCACATTGCAAAAATCTCAGTGCGGGAATAAACTATCCGCAAAAGTTTACGTTTCTACAGGGTTGTTTCTCTTTTCTTTAACTGGAAAAAAAAAAAACCAACCCAGTGAATGCATCAGCTTTGTTGTGGAGCTTTGGCTGGTTCTACAGCAACTGAAAGTTCAACTAAAACTGAGATTTACTGCTTGAATATGATAGAATTAATGGTCTGTACAGCACAAAGCAAACTGAAGAATTAAAGACCCACAGATTCTTTACTCAGTGTGGAAGCTATAGCACAAGACCACCATTCTGCATAGTTGCCTATTCTGGAGCATGAGAAGGAATTACACTTGTAAATTCTAATTCCTTAGAATTCTAAAATTCCTAAATTTAAATCTATGAACCTTTAACGAATTAACAGTACTGTCCACAGTCACCCTGTTTGTGTAACATGCTGCACTGAGGCTAAGCCACGCAGCAGGGTCTGTGCATGCAGCTAGACTGAGCAGGTAACTGGGGAAGTGCACCCATTCCAATCAGGTGTGCTACAGGTCTGTAAATACGCAAACAAACACAAAAACATCAACTTCAGATCCTTGTTCTTGGGAGTTATATTGATTCCAGAGCAAGTAAAGCAGCCAGAGGTTTCCTGGCCTGTATTTATACTCACTATGGTTCGGTCAATAGTATGCAGGTAGTAAGAAACTGGTTTCCCGGTCCATGACACCGACCCTTTCAGTGGTGATAGCTCCACAACTCTCATTATAGTGCCAATATCTAAAGGAAGAAAGTCAAGTTAGAGAACCAGAGCTTGCTCAGTTTGCCGCTCAGTTTTACTCAGCTGAAACTAGCCATGCAACAGTAAAGGCACATTCAAAACAAAAAGATAAGTTTTGTATTCAAGTAGCAATGTCCTAGAGTTTAAAAAGCAATTTCTTGTTCTTATTCTTCTGCTAAGTCCACCTAACAGAAAACTTGAGAGATTTGGAAGATCTACCTTTCATTTCTTCAGAGACAGTCAGCCACTCTAGAGTAAAATTATGTGCTAGTGCAAGCTTTTAGCAAACGGAACCTTCCTGTGCCTCAGAGGCAGCTTTCACAAGGAACCCAGCGACAACACATCTGTAGTAACAGGCAGGATTTAATTAGATTGAACCAGCACCAGAACATCATTAGATCCAGCCCATGTAAACTGTAACTGCACTATATTTGGACTGGGGACAAACATGTTTTATATTTCCTTTCTTGCCTATATTTGTTTTGTTCCCTAGAATTAATAGGTATGGGATGTGTCGAAGCATTTCCATAACCACTGAACACTGAGTGGCATGACTGCAGAAGAAATTACGGCACACTTCTAATTAAATAGAAAATTACCCAGAAGAGTCAAAAAGCAAAGTTTAGGATTCAGCAACTTCAACCGCTATTTTAACCACATTTTAATACTTGTTTTGGTTTGGCCCAACTCTTTCCACATTTCCATTTCTTTTTCCAGATGGAACTACTAAGGACAAAAATGGTATGGAGAAGAAAAGGTTGCCTGCTTCTTCAAGCTTTATCTTTTCCACTACATTTTTTTTTTAATTATTTAACTGTTCATACTTTAGATTGAAACATTAGAGAGACAGGCAAGCCACGTGACTCAAATCATACTCAGGCACAAAAAAACCCCGCTGAATAAAAGTATTACGGAAAACCTTGTAGGGCAGCAGCATAAAGCTAGCAGAGCAGAGTGAAATCACCTCCTCTGCATGTGAAGGATATTGGCCACATTTGATGCCAGGAGCTCTAAATGGATGACATTTTCCTGGAAGCATCACTTAGAACAGGCCATTAAGACTGGAACAAGCCCCAGGCCTAGCACATCCCATGCACGTTCATTTGATACTGGTATTTCCCAAATACAGTACGGTTACAGAATGGGATTAAGACCTAGAATTTATCCCCAGAACTTTCCCTCACTGTTTGTAGCATACAAATGTAATTTCTTTTCAGGACCTCTTATCTGAACCCCTGGAACAGCTTCCTATTAGTGGAAGCTATTGCCTATTCTTACGCTAAGCAATCTTGTTCACCCAAATCTTAATTAGCTATCTCTATATAATTTTAACATCAACATTCACATTGAGCATTAAATAGCAATTGATATATAAAACTTTGCCATTCTAGAAAACATTCCCAATGGATCCACACTGAGAACTGGCTCAACTGACAGTCATAATCAGGGCTTTTAATAGGGAAAAAAGTAACACACATTGGCCCCTTTGCCTCCCCAACACGTTTTTAATAACTGCAGTCTCCCAAACCTAGTGAAGGGAGAGATAACAAAATGGTCAGAAGCCAGGGAAGAAAAGGCTTGAGAGGCAAAAAAAAAAAAAAAAAGAATGTATTTACATAGGCAGGTCTCCCAACTGAAACCTCAGAAGTGCCTTCTTGCATTTCATCTGGTTCTAGTGTGCTGTAAAAGAGGCAGTAGGCTTTACTTAGGGGCTCTTCGTCTTACGAGCAAACTGACAGACCGATCTCAGCTCTCTGGAGGTTTGAGGATTTCCAGGAGTACCCTCCTGCCTTTCTTCCCTTGTATTTTCAAGTACACGTCTACAAAGGATTGGTAAGCCCTGAGCCAGTGATCAATAAGGTTCCAAACAATCAGATGCCACAGCAAAAGAGTTTCAAATGGGAAGGAAAAGGGCAGGTGTGGGTGCCCGATGCACAGGACGTTCACAATAATTCAAGCTTAGTAAAAATAACCCACAATGGCACTATTTCAGTGAAATGTCTTAATGACAGTCTTCAAGCTACTATTCTTGAAAAGCAGTTTACCATGAGTGTCAGGCCAGAAACAGAAAACACAGCTTGAGATTTGTAGCTTGAGATTTGTAGCTTGAGATTTGTAGCTCAGTACATTACTTGCCATGTTTGCACAGGGAGGGGAATAAGGCATTTTTTAAGCTTAGGGAATGCTTTGCACTGGACACAGTAACTATGTGTAAAAACCCAGCCTGGATCATTCTTTTGCTTGAAAAATTTCAACGATAAAAATTGAAAAATGGTCAGAAGCAAAAGCAACAGCACAGGGCATTAGTAATCTCAGAACTTCATTAAACTGTAGTTCACACACTCGCAAAGGACAACAGTGGCAAATATCAAGCCTGCTATGTTCAGAAAAGAAGAAAAACACAAAACTTTGTCAGCACTAAACCAGACACAGCAACCAGGCGTTTATGGGATGGGTCTGTTTGATCAATTTACAGTACAGAAGACGAACATTTCCGCTTCTAAGCCTTACAAATCATGACTGGGGAGATTTACCTGCCAAATTTAGACAGTCATGGTGTAAGGAGCTTGCTTGCAAGTTAGCCATTGCAGCTCTTTGTAGTTAAAGAAATGAATCACGCCCTTGAAACACCTTAGTTCTCTTCAACTATTAAAAGATGCCCAGCCAGGGGAACACTGACATTCTAGACATCTAAACACAGCAGGATGAACCCCATAAAAAGTGTGTCTGTTCCGGAATCCCAGAATCCCAGGATGGCAGGGGTTGGCAGGGCCCTCCAGAGATCCCCCATCTCACCCCCCCTGCTCAAGCAGGCTCACCCAGAGCAGGGGGCACAGGACAGCGTCCAGGCGGGGGTTGAATATCTCAGGAGAAGGAGACTCCACAGCCTGTTCCAGGGCTCTGTTTCAGTGCTGGGTGGGATTTTTTTTTTGTTTGTTTGACTTTAAATACAGGTCACTTTGGCATACATGCTATCATAATACAGTAGCATTTTTCTACTTACTTGAACAACTCTTTAAAGAGCAACAAAACCCCACTACAGACAAGTTCAGATAACAAATACGCCATAATTGTAACAAACAATAAAAAGGGCAATCATACCACTCAAGTTTCGACTGTTAATTCTAAAATTTAGAGGTGCAAAAGGTTTTGAGGACACAATTCTCCCACCTGGAAAAAGGAAAAAAAAAAAGCAAAGTCAGCTACCACTGTTTCTTCTATAAATGACTACTTCTTAAATAGAACCCAGTACAGAGCCCTAAAGAGCAGCCCTAATAAAACTACCACTTGTGTATCATCAAAAAAACAACCCCACAACCCAAAAAAACCTTAAAGCTCCTTCTGACAGCATCTAAGAAAGTCAATGTATTAGCCCTGCTGGGTAGCTATGAGGTGACACCTCAAGGATCACTTTAAAATGACAGATCTTACAACACTTCAAAGAAAGAAGGCATTCTCAGTGGCAATCTATAGACAGTTCAATCAGGAACACCACTATCTCACTCCTAGTTAGTGTCTGTTATACACAAGCCCCCAAAGCCCTTTTATTTAAAAGAACACCAATCTTCATTTCACAGCTATTTGCGGACACTCAGCCCGAGGCACAGGGCCTCAGCACCTTCTGGGAAGGGAAGGAAGGTTTCTTCATTTTGTAAAGAGCACTTGAACCTTCCCCACCTTGCTACTTTTCTCAAGCCACCACTAAAAAGCTTAAAAAAAACCAAAATCAACCACTAAAATTAAAGACAAGCTTGAGTTTGGGGGTTTTACGGTTTGCAACAGAGCCCAAGAGTCACATTATTGACTTCAGCACAAAGCTGTACTATGGGAAGCCACAATTTCTTTGTTCATGCCACACATTTTTCTTTTCAGAAATACTTATTTTTGCAATTTCTGCCATAACCAAATAAAATTGGTACTTATCCAAGCGGTTAAGAGGAAAGAAAAAAGACACCTTGGGTAACATAGGGGTCACAGTGGGGTTACTGGGCATGCCCGGTGACTAGTGTTGGCAATGAGGCTTCTCAAGAAGCACACAAGACGGTGTCCCCATTTTAATACTTATTAGTTAATAGCAAGTACTAAGTGTGACAACTTTAAATAGGAGAACTCAGTAACTGAATTCAGTATGCAGTTACAGAAACTGGACGTCTAAAGCCATGCCTGTGCAGTCAGGAAGCTGTGCCCTCCTGGCTGTTGCATGTTTTGTCAGCTCCCATAACAGGTAAGGAAGGACCAGCAGCTCCTCCCACCCCAACAGAGCTCTGCAGAGAGACTTCACATGCAGAGCAACTTCCAAGTAATCAGATAGGTCAAAGTAGATATCAAGTTGGGAAGTAAAAAGCCCAAGAAATAACCATTGCGGTGCAGACGCTTGCCTGCAAGGCACAGAATGAAACCCACCAACCCGGCTTCTGATGGCTGTAACTAAGCCCTTACCACCACCAGCTCCCACAGTAAGCAGGAAACCAATGGAAAAAGGTTGTAAGTTCGATTTGTTACCTTCCTTCATGTTCGCAAATCGCTCCTTCAGTTGGTGATCCACCTCAGGACCAAAGGCAAAATTATTCACAAAAATAACACTGCAAGATAATGGTCTCGTTAATGAAGAAGGACGGGCAAATGGCACCCAAGTATACACACACAACTGCCCGCACAACCACAAGTCACGGTCACTTAGAGCCTTCACAGCCTGTCCCTGACTACCCAGCTACTTTCTTCTAACAAGATGCTTTCTTCTTGCATACAGACACAAAACTATACCTTACCTTTAGCATTCACAGACACTGCTCGCATACCTTTAGAATTTTTTAAATGTAGTTGTCTTGCTCTGACAGCTCCTCTCAGCGTACAGCTGAGTTTTGCACCATAAGTTTCAACATAAAAACAATGTGCAAAATGTTTTCACCCCTCTGCCATGGTGAGATCAAACACCAACACAGCAACCGCCAACACACTTACAGTAGTTAATCCGCACATGAAAAGCAATCCCCCAACACAACAGACACACATTTCATCCCATTACTTCTTCACGTCCATTTAAAAGATTACAGCAAAGTATCAAAATATATTTTCTCTTCTAGCTCTAAATTCCCCCGTAATGCAAAAAGACAGTTGACATCTCTCAGCATGTTTTCCCCGTCCTAAACCCAACGCTTCACCCTAACCCACAACAGAGGATTTGCATCTTTCTTTCTGGGTTAGGAAATCCAGCGAGGGGCTTTTGTTCCTGAAAATTAAAACCCAGTCATATGGAAACAAAGAAACCTATCACACAAATGATAAAAATGTTTGGGAAAGCAACAGAACATGTCACAGATTAAGAAATACCCGTTTATTTTTAGGAGCCTGGGCCTGGTCTAATTGTCCCTGGTGCCCATTCCCTACCAGCTTGCAAGAAGAGTCCTCAGCATCTCTTGGGAACTGATGAGCACCCTGCACGCATAAACTGCGAAAGCCATTCTGGCATATTGTTTCAACATGAAGAACTGATTTCTTTGCAAGAGGTCCGTTTGAAAACTCCCCTCCTAGTGCCTCCACACATGAAACATGTTCAACAAGGACACTGAGTTTAAGAGCAGCAGCCAAATCTATTAAAAACCACGGATGAAAAAAAAAAATGTTTATACACTAAGAAAAAAAAAAAAAGTTATTCTTGCTACGCCTTGCTCTTGGAAATTTGGGAAACCCTGCCTGGCAAGTAAGGCTAGAGAAGGGGTTTCTTCCGCCTCCTTCCCACCATGTGCCAAAAAAGAGGCCTTGCAAAAGAGCCAAGCGTATTAATGGGACTAGAGAACATCCAGGAAAGGAAGGGAAAAAGGCATAGCTTGCCAGATACATATTTTTTTTTAGTGTTCATTCTGGCACGATATTTTGTATGCGCATGGCAGAAGCAGAGCAGCCCCCAGTCCACCTTGACTTCAGCACTCTTTTCGGCACGTACCGCTAAGCCACAAGCACGGTTATGAACAGGAACACTGCGTGCCGCACAGCTTGCTTCCATGTCAGCACTCAACCCCGCAGGACCGTGTTTTGGTACAAACGCATCCTCCCCTTCGGAGCCTGGCCAGAGGTCCACGCTCACGGGAAGGGTGACACTTCAACTTGCTAAGGTTGGGTGGCTCCAATGGGAATTCATCAGACAATCTGCAGTCTCATTAGGTAGAGCAGACGCTGAACAGTTGGCACACTCGGAACAAACACCTAACAGTTGTTCGCAAAAAAACTACTTCTTTTTGAATTTCTGTATCAGAGGGCAAGGTGGCGGTGGATCAGTAGGCAGTTAGCTGCATACCATACAAAATCTAGCAGCATTTCTGCATGCAGTTAGATGTACTCCAGCCAAAAATAAAAATAAAATTGTTTTAAGGGAAGTTGCACAGACAGCAGAGTGTGCATTCGGAATAGCAAGCAATAAAGCAAAACCCCACTATGCTGCAAGGCTGGGACAAAGACTATCCACAAATTAAAAGGCACCTCCAGAAATTTAACTGAGGTATATAATAATGCAAAAGTCAACAGCCTGGCAGATGCCTTCCTGATGGAGTGCTCTTAAAGCAGTGTCTTGGAAGCAATCCAAAAATTGCCAGAATGCTGAAGACTTTCAGAGAGCCCTCTTTGACAACTCTCTTCCATTCCCCCACATAACAGGGTGGCCCTGAAGGTCATATAAAAATAAAGACCTTTTTTTTTTTTTTCTGTCCATAAGGCTGAAAGAATGCAAAACCTTTAAAAATACGGACTATTTTCTTGCTTTTAAGAAATTTACTCCCTTTTTGCTACCATCAAAAAGGAGTCTAATCCTCTGTACAGATCTTCACCGAAATAATCTTCAAGACAATCAGCTTAAATGAATTCCCAATTTAAGTTGGAACAGACTCACTTGGGTCCTTTGCTTTTTTTGAAATGGAAAGTGAGCCTAGCTGTATGCACTAATAGCCAAGATAACTAGTGTTTTGCCAGAATCACTGACACAAACTACAAGGATATGCAAAACAAACAGAGGTTTATACTTTTCTATATAACCAGAATTTATCTTGGATACACCCTTGCATGTAATATCATGGGACATGCATTTAAACCCATTCTTCTAGTCAGAAAACAGGATCTAAAGAGGCCAGTATAAAAGTTGGCAGATAGACTTTTGGTATTTGCTATGGAAATTCTATATAAAAAGCTGGCCAGCATCCCAGTTTCCATTATACAAACTCCCAAATATTCAGTTCATAAAGCAGCATTCAATTGCTGTACTGTACCTTGTGTTAGCAATTCTCTCTCTCCATTCTTCTGAGAGGAAGTCACCTCTTTCCAGCTTAAAAAAAAAGACAAAGAACACAAAAAAACACACACACACACGAGTTAACATTGTTCCTTTCCACTCCATATCCCTTTTCCTTTGAAGAAGGCCAAACATGCTGTACCAACTCAGTGATACCACTACAAATAAGGTCAAATGAAGTCTTTAAGTAATACTGAGGAGATGAAGCACCCAAAGCTCAGGAGCTGGCTCTGCCATTTCCTCGGGTCCTGGAGGTGCCTCCCTCTCTGCTCCCACCCTCAGCCACGGGATGAACGGGGAAGGGTCTCCAGGCATCACCAATGCCCTATGAAGACTGTGCTCCATGGTGAAGCAGCAATGCTGTACAGAACCTGTACTAGAAATGATCAGCAAAGGCCTCCTCAAGTCCCTGCTGACCCCCGTGGTTTGGTCAGCCCCTCTTAGGGGAGGGGGAACCAGAGCAAAGAGATTTGGCACAGCGCTTGCTGGAAACACTGGCTTTTATTTCAGGCTTTTGTTGCAACGGACAGACAAGCATCTGATTTTTCCGTGGTACTAAATATAAGTCTTGAATGCTTCTAACACTTTCAAGTTGGAAATCAAGTAACATAAAGGGTTTATTTGAAAACAATTATAGTTATGACTTCGGTGACTTATATAGTACCTTTCTGATGAAACCACATCAAGTCCCAGGTTAATACCCACAATTACGTAGCTTTTCCACAGATTAATGTTTTCTCAGTTGTGCTTTTGAAATGAGAGGAATCTATGGGCCAGGCTGTTTTGCTGTGCCACAAGTAAGGCAGAAGGAGGGTTGGGGGAGGAAGATAAGAGGAAGAGAGAAAAAAATAATATGCAACTATATAACTAATGACGATGACGCACTTTGAAGGGGCAAGATGATGGCTTATATCAGAACCTCAGGAACATCAAAGCAAAGACGCAGTGACTGCTTTAGCATCCTTTTTCTGCACATATTCCTTTGTATAGAAAGAAGCGAGCATTTCACATGCCAGCATTTAGTGACAACTCAAACAGAAGCATCTGCGCTGCAACACAGACGCACTCAAGCTACTTCCAAACCTCGCTAGCTAAGCCAGGATACCTGTCTCAGTGAAGCACCAGAGCCTGGTGTCTTCCACCGTAGCTTTCTCTTCCCAGCTGAGCAGCCTGATGCCACTCAGAGTCACAAAAGGGATGACAAACGGAGGTAAACCTGCCTGAGCCATGGTGAAGGACAAAGCCACAGTTCCAACAGGAGCCAGTCTGCTTCTTGGGAGGAAAGGGGGGGGGGGGGGGAAAAAAAAAAAAAAAAAAAAAAAAAAAAAAAAAAAAAAAAAAAAAAAAAAAAAAAAAAAAAAAAAAAAAAAAAGTCCAAATGCCCTGCTGCTACAGACTGTGCAAGAGGGCTGAGAAAAGTGAACATCAAGTGTTCTCAGGCAAGAGATCAAGAACTTTGCGAAGAGCCTTAAGTGTTAGACACTAAACATGTTGAAAACAGCAGGTTAGAATAACTAAAGTTAGTCAGAATTATCTGTTCCACCAAATAGCTAGGCTAAAATAAGATTTTAAGACAGAATTACTACCTGTACTCTTCACACCTGCTGGAAAGGGATGCACGTTTTGATAGTCCCGCTATAGGAAAACCAAAGCGTATGTTGGAGATCTAACTCAGAGAGATCCAACCCATCAACATACTACCAGGTATTTTCAAAATCTAAAGCAGAAACTCAACGCAACATCAGAACAGTGCTAAAGAGTACTGAGTTCTTCCCCACCTCACATACAGAAACATTTTTTCTGGAGCTCTATATGCTGTATTTGCGAATGGAGACCATCTTTAGATTATTTTTAAGAGACATTTTTGTCTCAAAGTCTTATCTGTTCTTATAGTAATGAGTTTTATGGTTGAGTAACCAACACACAGTAGAAGAAAACCCACATGCAAGGCAACTATATTTAATTTACATTTTTTGCAAGCCAGCTTCTATATTGCAGTCCTCCACATCACAGTTTCTAATGTCTACATGAGGTTTTCATACACTAACAGGAGAAAGAAAAACATCTGAAAAATAAGGAAGCATGATTCTAAACCAATAGCCTAGCAAAAGAACAAAGAACCAGCGTAACATGAAACTATTTTGAAATACTAAGCTTCATATAAAGGTCCTGAAATCTAACCTAAGTGGCTGTTACCCTTTATTTGGATCCAATTACACTATGTTTGTCCTGCCTATGTGGTTAGGAAGAGCGCAGCTATAACCGAAATCTCCATGCTTTAACCTGGTATAACACATGGAGGCTGAACACTTTTCCCCCCACCACCCCCGTCTACTTTTGCAAGATACAGCCACGTTACAATTCAAATGAACCACAGCCCTGTTTAAACCCGTCTATTTTTGTATTGTAATGCTACCCTAGCTCATAGCTAGCCAATAGTTGAGGGGAAAATCTCACCAGGAAAAATACTGGAGTACAGAAATAACCAGATGGTCAACTGTGGTTGGGAGAAAATTGGTTATTTTTTCCCCTCTGGAAGCAAGACAGTGATTCCTGGATCGGTGGTCTGCTACATTCAAAACGGAGTCCAAGAGCTATCCGACTGACTATTCCTAACAACCAGTTTCTTCTCCTACCATACTTGGGGAGCAGTGATCAATAAATGATGGCCTCAAAGGAGGAAAGTAGGGCCTTCCCCATCAACTGACATGGGGAATCCAACAAAATCCCCCCAAAATCCCAGTCAACTCTGTGGTTTCCAATAGTTCTGAGAGTGAAACAAGAACTTTTATGGAAATTCCAGCTAACTAACTCCTGGCCAAGGGCTGCGGTAGCTAAACCAGAAGAACATGGTCCATTATGGTTCTGTAGGGAGAAGGTGGCACGCCCATGCAAAGCAGTGGTGACAGCTACGGGGATGCACTCAATCTCTTCCCACCAGTGTCCCTACCCCCATCCTGTTCCTCCTCTCTCTGCGAAACTTAATCTCCTTAGTGAATAATGAATGGAAGGGACCATCTGTAATGCAGATATTTTCATCTGATTAGACAATGCAGGAGACGTGCTTTATCTAAAAGGATAATTAGCTCAGTGAAATCCGCTTCAGAGAGCTGCCAGCCTGCATTGTTTCTAAATTTAGAAGCCAAAACAGGTTTTTATTCAGGTTTTTCAAACAGATAAATTTGCTCTACGGAGACTGCATAAATACGCTCGACGGCATCTGATTCCTGTAACTCGAAGAAAAACGGCAGGTCACCGCCTGGGGGAAGCAACAAGAGGTACACTCCAGCGGCTGTGCATTCATCACGTAGCAGAGCAACAGTTTATGAAGGTCAAGCCCCTCCGCCGCGGAGGAGGGCTCCATTCTCGCCCCAGCACTGGGCTGGGAGTCTCTCTGGTAACGCTCTGTTTGACTGGCTACACAAAGCCATAAATTCACACGCAGAACGCCTCATTCCAGCAGCCTCCATGCAAACACTTGGCTCACAAAAACCAGTCATTTCTGCCTGGAAAAGTACACATGGTTATTTTTAGGTTCCTGTTCTTTTCAAAAATAACTGGAGGCATGAATCCAAACCTCCAAAATGTGGCATCATTTCAAAGCCACAGGGGACGTTTGGAGGGCTTTTCAAATACCAAAACATCAAGTTTCCCGCTGAAATAGGGCATTCAAAAATATCTGGGACTAACAGATATCTTGCCCTTTCCCCAGCCGCGCTGTACGGTTAAGCAGTGGAAGTTTTTAAGCACAGGTGATGTCGGTTACCCCCACAAACCAGCAGCTGGTATCAGGCAACAAGAGACAAGGAAACTCCTACACAAATCACTCTGCTTTTGCTCAGAACAGAGATTTCCAGGAAAACAAGCCAGACAGGGCACCCCAAACTCAATCAGAGACGAGCCTGCAAGCTAACAGATGCCAGGCTTCCACTGATTTATGCACAACAAAAATCACCTCTAATCCACAGGGCTGAACCACAGAGCATCTTCAGCAATTAGAAGCTACTGGGGTTTCCTCTCAGCAGGCAGCGCGTGGCAGAGACATCCATCCAGCCAAAATCCCAGCCTTTAGCAACGCTGACCTGTGTTTTCCTGCTCTTCTTTTGAAGACTTGTAGATTGATTTCCACCTACTGCTAAAAGCAGCTTTTATGGATCAGGGGAAGGTATTCTGTTATAACAACCCTGAGTAAACAAAACCAAAATAAACCCTTGTCTTCAGCACACAGCCAATGTGCAACTGCAGCTACTGCCGACTTTGCTTGCAGAGACCTACTCCAACCTATGGCTGGAAGAGTGCCTTCCCCAGCAGGGGAGTACAGCAGGTAGCAGGCACTGAGGACACACCGAAAACTTTCTGAAGAACACTTAAGCACTTTCTGCTAGACGGCAATCTCGGCATTGTGCCCTAGATACCTGGAGACGGCTCTCATTTTGAGGCCACATGAGGATATTTACAGTTAGAAACCATGAAAACCCATCTGCCTCTTAATTGCAATACCGCTTTTTAATTTGATGACTGCACATGTGCAGAAATTCCCCAAGAAAGACTCTCTAATTATCTAGGCCTAATGACCTTAGAAAAGGCTCCCTTTTCCTTCAGAAGACAGTTTTCTTGAAAAGAATGGGATAAGGCTAATCTTGGAAACTTCTCAGTTCCATGGGAAGAGAAATGAGAAGATAAAAGGAGCTGAAACAAAGTGAGACGTATTGGAAGTGGGACACTCCAGTCCAAGAAGCTGAAGCAGCTGCTGATGATGAAAAAGCCCTAGATAATGCATTCCCTCTGAACGCAAGAGAAGACTAGCAAAGAATATGATTATCCCTAACCGATCAGGAATTAGACATCAACAGCCATACAACCATAGCACAGGGATGTGAATATTTATAGCAAGTTGAAAGATATCAGTTGAATATAAAAACTAAGAAAGATTCTTATCAGAAAGTGTTACTCTCATTTTGGTTTGGTTTTTTTTTCCCCAATTAGAATCATGAGATTGAACAGCTTGTCATTTAAAATGAAACTCAGTTCATTTAACAGGATTATGAGATACGATTACTTACAATAGCTGGAGATCAGGAGACTTAGAAGCCAACGTATGATGAGCAACCTTTCTCCCACTCCTTTCACGCCCCAGATGACTCTTCCCTCACTAAAGCTGCAGCAATGACCCATTACCAGCAGCTGCAGCTCTGCAGAAGCCTTAGGCATCCAAAACACCTCAGGACCCTTTGCCACTAGCTGCTGGAGAAGTTTAATGAGCAATTATCATCCAAAAGTGACTACGCAATGATGTTTTGTTTTACTGAAGAGACCTGCATATACGTGACTGCGTATTTTGTATAGAGCCACTTCTCAAAAGAGACTTTTTCTATGATTGTGGACAAAATAGAATGGAAATACACCTGGACAATCCAGGGTTTATTTCAAAAGTTGTCACTGGACCTTGCTCATCAGAATTCATGTGTCCAAGCTCAGAACTTCCAGCAGTAACAAGAATATTCCAGCGAGAAAGGCAAGTAAGTGAATTTGATGACTGCAGAGCTGGTGAGGGCCATCAATTGTGGCCTTGCCAAAACAGTGTTAGCTAAAAGACAAGACTTAAGACCAGCAGCCAATCACTTTAAAGTGAGCAATCAAAAATCCATTTGTATTGGAACCCTGTAATTGTACTAGGCTCTTGGCTGTTAAAAAAAAAAAAAAACCTAAAAAAAAAAACAAAACCACAACCCTACAGGCCCAACTCCAGGATTTATTGCTGCCTTATGTACCACAATTTTTACTTTTACAGCAAGGCAGCTGTTACGTGCATGAAGTCAAAACCACAGTCCACATTATGCAGACAAAGCTGCAGGTGGGATCTGAGACTTCTTCCCACTGAACTTCTGCCAAGCTTTCCTCCTCCAACACTTTATTCTTCTCAAAATATTTATTTTTCATATGACTGCCTAAAACATTAGAGTGGAATTGACAAGTTAAGCTCTGCTGATGACAGACTATTTCAATTTGTGCTTATTTTGTCTCCAACATTTGGAATTTTGGGACCCCACTAAGCATTTTGCAGGGACAAAGTTGTTTTCCAGAAAGATAAACATACCAGGCTTTTAATTCCATGCCTTCCAGCATCTTCTAGCTGCATTCTAAGACAAGTTTGCTCTCTGTTCAACAACAGTCGCCTATAGAAGATGCTGCCTTAGGAGTTACTAAAGCAAATATAGTTTGGCAAAAATATGCAAACGTAAGCCTAGGATGTTTGATGAAGCAATAAAAACTAAATAAAATCTGCCCTGTGTGTCTACATGTAAAAGACCAAAATCGACCTTCAAGCATCACTTCCTATCACAAGGTGATAGGAAACCAGCTTTCCTTAAGACAAGAAGTGCTGCAAGTGTTCAAATCTTCCCAGAAAAGCAGACTGCATACTCGAGAGAAATTTTATTCTAAACACTTTTCAGAAAACAAAGTTATAAAAGCCAAAGAACCTAGCAAAAAAAAATAAGTAGCTTTGTTTCAATATAGTACCAGACTCTGTCACTTGGAATGCACAATATGGAAATGCTCGCTGCCTACGGCAATCAATATGCTTTCAATATTTTAGTCCAAGTTCCTATCCTATTCTTTAAATTACACAGCTCATAAGCAGAGTATCTTCAGCAACAATTCCTTTCATGCAATGCCAGCTGGGTGACACAATGGAAAAATGCCATATGGCCACTTCATGAAAAGTAAAGCATTCACAGTGTTTCCACAGCAGGAAAGAGTTAGCAGCCTGATATCAATCCTGCTACAAACTAGTCCCACAGCAGGCCCAGCATCCCTCTGCAGAAAATCACGCTCTACAATAAAGGCATTTCAGGGAGAAAGTGCGCAGAGGCAGGTGGCACTATCACCTTCTCCAGGCTGCTTCCCGAAGGGAGAGCTGTAGCATCCTTCGTCACAAGATAAGCCCTCTAAAAACCACCAGGGCTCCCCAGCAGACACAGAAAATTGGGAAATGAGGCTGGCCATCTACAACCTGCCATTTGATCCCACACTGCTGGAACACTGAAAGCCACGTGGTTCAAACCATTCCAGTAACAGAGCAATCATGGCTCTGTACAAAAGGAAAATGAAGAAGTCGTTCCCCAAACGTCTGCTCACACTTCAAACTGCAGGACACGTTGCTAGCTGCAACTTCTTTGCAGGAAAGAGT